GTCCCTAGAGAGACCCAGGCCAATTCATACAGTCCTGGGTCTGGACAGACCTGGTCCAGTTAGCACAGCCCTGGTTCTGGACAAACCTTGTGCAATCAGTACAACCCTAGTTCTGGAGAGACCCGGTCCAGTTAGCATATCTCTGGTTCGCGAGGAGCATGCAAACTCCGCATGGACAGCACCCCGCGGCCCAGCCCGAGCGCTGACCCGCGCTGCAGGAGAGATGACTCACCCGAGCACCAGCACGACTCCCACTAACGCCAAGAGGACCACCTTCAGGGCTCCCAGTCTCCCTGTGGGGAAACAGAAGAGCCGATTGATCAGGGCAGCTGGCTTTAGTGTGACAGGGTCAGGGGTCGGGGGTCAGGGGTCAGGGGGTCAGGGGTCCGGGGTCGAGGGAGGTTGCTGTGTTGAACTGGATCTGCTTGTGTCTGACTGGCAGGCAGAGCTGGAGACCTCTGGGAGCAAAGAGGCTGCCTCATCCGACCTCTAACTCCAGCCCTAAGACAACCTGAGAAAAGGTGCTTACTTGCTTTACGCAGAGAGTTGTGGAAGTGTGTAGCAGGCTGTGCACTGGTCGCACATTTCGTGTGGCAAGCAGAGAACACTGCTTTACACCACGGGTTTAATAAGAATCATAATTCCTTGATTAATAAAGCACTTTTCTGGACTCTCCACTCAGAGCTCTATACAGGTCCTGGGGATCCCACTACCCCCACCAGTGTGCAGCTCTTTACAGGTCCTGGGGATCCCACTACCGCCACCAGTGTGCAGCTCTTGACAGGTCACGGGGATCCCACTACCGCCACCAGTGTGCAGCTCTTTACAGGTCCTGGGGATCCCACTAGCCCCACCAGTGTGCAGCTCTTTACAGGTCCTGGGGATCCCACGAGCGCCACCTGTTACGATCCCTGCCTCTCGGCAACGGAGGAGGCAGAAGTAGGTGTAGCCCCTATCCATCAGTTCACCTATCAGTTTTCCCATTCACCACCATCTCATCTCACCCCGTCTCATCCTACTTAAACACCTGTCCTTCCCTACCTCGTTGCTCAGTATTGGTTTTCCCTATTGAGCTTCCTGGTTCCTGGTTGCGCTTCTTCTACTCTGTGTTTGTCTTGGATTTCGGCTTACGGTTTTTCCCTTTGGACTTCGGCCTTCGGATCTCGGCTTGGATTGGTACTTTCGCTCTGTCTTGGATTACTGGCTACCTCTGGATTCT